TGCTGGCGCGGCTAGCCCCGCCGGCGGGGCACACACACACACACACACACACACACACGCACACACGGGTGGACCCGAGGGATCCCCTGAGATCCAGGCGATGCACTTTTTCCCACTGGGCGGTTTCGCCCAGACTCTGGCCACTGAGCTCTCGCAGATCGATCCGGCTCGAGAAATGCCCAAAAAGATAGAATCTAGGGCCATGGCCATGATATTTCACCATGTTGCATTTCTTCGCGACGTCAGATCTCAGAGCCCCCCCCCGCTGGGCCCGAAGGATCTTTGGAGACACGGCCGCCAGAGGAAGAAAGGCAGGAGAAATCGAGGGTCGAGATTTTTGGATTGAGGATCGATCGGGGCTGTTCTTGGCGTGCTCGGCCCTCCTTGTGGCCCCAGGGGCTCCATCGTGGCCACGGCCGGACTCCCCTCGAGATTCTCGCCGGAACGCACCCCGAGACGGGTCCGGGGGTCGAGGTTGTGCCCCCCGGGCCCAGATCTCCAACGTTTCGATGAGACCAAGGCAAGCAGCACACAACAGCAAAAAATGTGACACCTCCAGGTGCTGTTTTCCTGTTTTCGGGCCCTGGGACCGTCCGAAGTTTATCCACGACGAGAAGCCAGTCCCCCAGAAGGGGTCGCGAGGCTGAGGAACCTCGCAAGGAAATCACGACGTCGGAGGTCTAAAGAGGCAACGCTGGGAGTGCAAGGGCGAGGAGGAGGGGCTCTTGCCAAAGTCACGAGAAGGGCACCTTCGCCCCGTCAGGCCGAGGGGGGAGCTGGCTCGAGAAATGCCGCAGAAACTCGAGCTCCAGCCGTGATTTGTTGCTACGCTGCGACGTCTTAGCGATGTTGGATCTCTCAGGAGGGAGGACGCCACCGGGGATCACGCGGGATCCCAGCGATCCTCCAATATGATTGTTTGCATCTGCGGCCCCAGAGCTCCCGATCCCTTCCCAGGAGCCAGTTTTTCGTCCCAGGTCCGTTTCTGATAGCCCTGGGGCAACGGCGCCCAGAGGTCCAAATCGACGACAACGCCTGGATTCAAAAAACCATGTCGAGATATGGGGTTCCGCACTTGGGACACCTCGCTGGCACCACGCGGACTCCGCGCACGGGTCTGCCGCGCTCAAGGGCCCCACGCGCACGGGCTTGCCGACTCGGCCGTTGGGCGCGGAGATTTTGGAAGCGCGGCCGCTGGAGGAAGGGAAGACGTCGCTGGGGAGCGGCTGGCCAGACATCGGGGCGCCGCGCAAAGATCGCGGCGGGTGTTTCTTATCACCGGCTTTGGACCTCCAGGAGGCCCGTTTCGGGCCCGGGAACTATCCATCCCCTGAAGGTGCCATGCTTCCGTCCTTTTTTGATTCTCTCTCTCTCTCTCTCTCTCTCACTCACTCTCTCTCTATCTCTCTTTCTCTTTCTCTCTCTCTCTCTCATTATCTCTCTCTGCCTGTATATACAGATATACGACTTGAGGGCTTGCTTCCCTTCGCCTCAAAATCTTGGTCCTGCGTCCAGGCGCTGCAGGGGACTGCCGAAAGTCTCATCGGTCGGAACAGTCATGACCAGGAGGGGGGGGCGGGCCACTAGCTGGCCGGAGGCCACAGGCATGTTCATGCCATGCGGGGAAGGGCCTGGTTGCCACCAGGGCGACGGTGAGGACCCCGATACCAGGGTGCGCCATTACCCAACCTGGGGTGACGGCTATGGCGTCGAGGCGTGTACGTCATGACCGCGAGTTGGGTGAAGGGCACGGTGAAGCGGTGCTTGGGCAGTGGCGGCGAAGCCGATGACCGGGAACACACCGAGATGACCGCGAGGGAGGCGAAGGTCATGATGCGAGGGGTTCCAGTCATGACCCCCATGCATGTTCAGGGCATGGCCGTGGCATGGGGTTGACATCATGACTGGGAAAGTATTGTCACGGCGGTGACCGTGAAATGGTTCTTGGTAACGATAGCGGGGCGCCCCAAGCATACACCGCCAGGAGGACGAACCCCATGACCGCGAGGGGGGTCGAGGTCACGTCGGTTCAGCTGCACACAGGTTGTCGAAGAAACGGCTGGCCTGAGAAACAGGGCGCGGCTTACGCATAATATGAGGAAAATGCGCGCGCCCTCGACCGAATGCATTGCAAGAGAGCGAATGAGAGAGAAATTCAAAAAGGGGGAACGAAATGATGGAACAGCATGACGTTTTCCTCCCGAGACCTTCGGGGGAAAGCTCTTGAGGTTCTCTCGGGACTTCTGCCGGGCTTCTGGTCCATCGTGGGGGTCGTTGCGAGGCTGCTGGGGCTGCCGCGGTGTCTATGAGAAGGCGGGCGGCTGGCCGAACAAGCCTGCCGTCCGAAAGGTGCCCCAGGGCGGGTGAGATCTTCGCGACCCTGGAGGCGACCGAGCCCTCTCATGCTGTCCAAAAGGCCGAAGGTGAGATGGAGGAAAGGAGGAGGAGGAGGAGGAGAAAGAAACGGAGAAGAAGACGGAGAAGGAGAAGGAAAATGAGAAGGAGCAGGAGGAGGAGGAGGAGGAGGAGGAAGAGGAGGATGGCGAGGAGGAGGAAGAGGAAGAGGAGGAGGAGGAGGAGGAGGAGGAGGAGGAGGGCGAGGAGGAGGAGGAGAATGGCGAGGAGGAGCAGCAGCAGCAGCAGCAGAGCCGTCACATCTGACACCATTCGTTTTCCTTTGTCGACGAGCCTTCGTGGACCTGAGCTGGGGAGTGTTGGGGCCTCTTTTGGGCACCATTGGGCCATTTAGGGCCCTCTTGGGGGCTTTTCTTTTGTTTATTTTGGCGCCTTCTGGGCGCCTTTTTGGGGCGGAAAGGTCGAACTGTCTGTGCGCGTTCCCTCTCTGAGGGAATTCTGGGGCACTCTTGTGCAGGGGCCCTCCTGGGCTGTCTTGGAGCCCTTTCGGGGGGCCTCGTCGGTCGTTGTTGGGTGTTTTTTGTGCTTTTGTTGTTATTGGACATGGGAAGATTGAAAAGGCGAGAAGCCAAAAAAATAAAAAGCCGAATGAAAATGCATGACGTGTGCCTCCCATGGCCATCTGGGGAAGACCCTTGAGGTTTTCTTGGGACTTCCATCGGGCTTCTGGTCCATTGTGGGAATCGCTGCGAGGCTTCTGAGGCCTCCGCGGCGTCCAGAAGAAAGCGGGCGGCTGGCCGGGGAGGCTCAGGAGACCGTCCGAAAGGTGCTCTGGAGCGGGAGGGGCCCGTTCGAAAAGGGTCCCTGGATTGTCGGATTTTCGGGCGAGGGGGAGGGGCATCCAGAGGGGGGGGTACATGCAGGATGTATAATTACAGGAAGATGCACGCAAACACACACACACACACAGATCTCTCTCTCTCTCTCTGTTTCCCGCTCCTCTTTTCTGACGTGGTCGGCCCGCCCACTGCCCTCCGCGACGACGAGGATCACCGCGACGATGACGACGACGACGACGACGACGACGACGACGACGACGACGACGTCCACGACGTCGACCTCGACCACGACCACCGCGACGCCATGGCGACGACGACGGTCCGACTGCGACGGCGACGGCGACCGCCGCAACGACGGGGGCGGCGGTTGCAACGGCTACGGCGAACCGCCGGACCGACCTCCGCCGGCCGTACGCGAGTTCGCGCCCACAGGAGCAGCGGCAAGCGTGGCAGCTGCGCCTGCAGGAGTGGACTGCACGTAAGAGTGACCCTTCGCCCGCGTGACCTCTGGTGCGGGCCAACTGGGGTCCCCCGATCGCCGAACGCGATGCGATAGCAGGGCCTTGTGCGCTTGGGTTTGGCCCCCCCCGCGCTCCTCAGAAAGTCGCGCACCAAAGGTCACTCTTGCCTAGGATCACCCTTGCGTGTAGCCGAAGGAGGAGTTCGTGATGGAGCTGTTTCTGCACGCGGCCGACATCGGCGAGCGCGCGCGCGGGGAGGGGGGGGGCGGGCGGATCCCTCGACGCCACGATCGAGGAGCGAGGCTTCGACCCTCAGGTCCCAGGCGGCGCCCAAAAAGTGTCGCGGCGGCCGACTTTTCGTAGTTCTCGGCCTCTGGCGGGACGTTTCCCGGCCCCGGGACCGTCAAAAGACGGCGCGGGATGAAAAATTGGCCCCGGGGAAGGAGTCGAGATTCTTGGAGGCCGACGTCGCGAAGAAGTTGCGACGTCGGAGGGGAAAGGTGGGGGGGGCCCTCGGGTGTCCGGTCGGTTATTTCCTGAGCTTCTAGGGGCTCCGCGCCGCCACGGCCAGGATCCGCTTGGAAATCCTGGCCGGGGCGTACCCCTGCACGGGTCCAGAGGAGGGGGGGTTCTCTGTCTTCTCTTGGGGGGGGGCGGAGGCGGATGGGTTATACTCTGGCTGAACTGCTTGCTGGGTATCCATACCCCGTCTCTACCATCGTTTGTGCTTGCATGTGAACTCGTGGTTGCAGCTGGAAGCTGGAACCCTCCAACGTCTTCGCGTTTCTTCTGTACGTTGACCTGCACCTTCCAACCGAGGCCTTCCGAGTTGCAGGCGCCGCGCGGCAGCGGCCGCGGCAACTGCCGCGGCAGGCTCGAAAGGTGGTGGTTGAGCGCGGGGTGGGGCTGGACAGACTCTGTGGTTCCCTTATTGAGCCCGTCTGTCGTCTGGCCATCAGATTCGAGCGTCGCGAAGGAATCGCGGCTCGCGGCTTCGCGCCAGGAGCCTCTCACGGTTCGATCCAGCTCGATATACCCCGCCGAAAGAATCGACCGAAAGGTCCGCTCGCGATTGTTCACACCAGTGAGATTTTTGTCAAGATGGCGAAACTTGCGGGGGGGGGGGGCAGGGTTCTCGGAGGTCACCTCAGAGCCTTCTTCGGGGCGTTCTTGTGGCTTCTCGGAGCCATGTTGGAAACATCTGGGCCTTGTGGCCATCTAGTGCCACCGTAGTCCTGCTAACGGCCCGCGGCCCTCATGGTCCAGACCCCCAGGAAGGTCTACCCCTCCCGGGGGGGTAGGTATACTTTGTGTAAGAGCTGGGGCATTAAACTTCCGACGTCCAGGGGGCTGCTGGGAGCCCGACCGCTCGGCAACAGAATTGGCTGGATCCCGGGTTCACTCGTCCGTTGGATGGGCTCAGACGTCAAAGGGGCTCACAAGGTGCCCTTGAGGGGAGACATAGAGCAAGACAGACACGCGAGACAGGAGAGGGGATGGTAGTGCGAGACGCAACCAGCGCGCAAAACAAGCCGGCGTGCGATGTTCACCTGCGTCTTCAGACGGCGATATGCTCGCCATTTCTTCCAACCGATCTTGCGCCACCCCAGACGCGGATCGACCTCACTCAGCACCGCCTCCGCGACCCGCGGTCCTATCCCCCGCGGCTCAGCGCCCCAAGTCCAGGAACGGCAGGAGGAGGAGGCGGAGGCGGAGGATCAGCAGCAGCAGGAGAACGAGGAGGCGAGAGCGAGGAGGAAGAAGAGGAGCAGGAGGAGTAGATAGAACGTCGGCGGCGCGCCAGGGACAGCAACCAGAGAAGGAGAACAATGGGCGAGGAGGGGGGCAACACTGGGCGTGTACGCCAGGGACCAGGACGCCCGCTGTGTTCTCAAACGAGGCCCATGCGCTCGGCCCAGACCAGTCGCTGAGTAGCCTGCGAGCGCAGCATCAGGTGCGGCAGAGCCCAGGCGATGCCTAGAACCCAGCTCAGCCCAGTACAGTCAAGACGTGGAAGCAAGGACCACGCTGGCTTCAGGCGGGACTCTGGTGTTCGGGGCGCTCCTTGGAATCATGTCGGGGAACCCATTCGCGGCCGAGGCTCGCCGTCGCTAGAAGAGCACCTTCATTCCTTATCCAGCGTTCATTGTGGTAGCACAATGGCTGTATCCCGGCGCAGACCACAGCCAGGACGCACGCAGAAGAGAGGGCGTGGCTCGAGGCGGAGGAGAGGAGAGCAAGGAGAGGGCATGGCTGTAGGAGCAGCAGCAGCAGCGGCGGCGGGAGCCGAAGCTAGAGCAGAGGCAACAGCAGGAGCCAGAGACGCAGCGGGAGAACTGAGGGGCGCAGCGTGATTGTGGAAGGCAGGGGAGAGTCGGAAGAACGGCCGGCGCACGCCCAGCGCGAACGGCGAGGCAACGCCACCCTGCCGTTCACCCAGTGGTGCAGGTGGAACCGGCTCGTGCAGCAGGAGTCCGCGAGGGAGCAGCGGCGCAGAGAAGGGTGAGATGCGGAGGCTTCGGGTCTGGAGGGGATGCAAGGCCTGGCTGTGCTCTCGGCAGTCCACGCTGCCGCCGCCCTTCTATCGCATCGGAGTGCGCAGCTCCTGCTGGCAGTGCTCTGGCCGCGGAGCTCTGTGGACCCAGGGGTGCACAGGCGATCTCCTTACCTTCTCCCCTCCTCTCGGCTGCGCGTAAGAGTGACCGTTTTCCGGAGTGACCTTTTGCGCGGGTCCACAGGTGCCTCCCGAGCAGTGTCTGGCGCGCTTGGGTTCCCCCCCCCTGCAGGAAGCCGCGCACCAAAGGTCACCTCTGCCCAGGGTCACTTTTCCGTGTAGCCGATCCTTGAAGTTCATTTGGGCACAGTTGGGGCCATCGTCGGGCCTTCTGGAACGTTCCAGAGAGGGCCTCGCTTTCGGCGCCTTCGGCGCATCCTCGCCCTCGGCAAGGAGCGGCGGTTGGCCAGAGGAAAGCCAGCGGAACTAAAACGCCATCTAGGGCCATCTTGGTCGCTCCAAAGCGTCGCGCCCCACCCCTGTCCAGACCCAGGGAAGGGGTAAGTGGAGGGGTCAAGCTACCACCACCACCACCACCCGAAGGACGGCCATCTCGCTCACTCCCACCCGCCTTCCCACCACATACGCAGCACCCGAGTCTCAGCATTGGCAAGGGCCGCCATCGACAAGCATCGGGAACCAATGCAGACGCCAGCCAGGCGCGCGACACCCGCGAGGTGCACCGCGCGTGCCAGGGCACCCTTTTATCATCCCTGTCAGACAACGATGCTAATGATCGCGGGGCGCTGGAGCGAGGGCTTGCCGCAATGTGCACTGGGCATTGGTTTCTGATAGGGACGGTGGGCCTGCACACACCAGGCAATGTGCGAGTCCCCACGCCGTCCCTTCCAAGAAACGATTTGACGTGATCGCGGGGCCAAACATGATTTAGATTTTGTCGCAGAGTGCAGTGTCGATTGGCGTTGAACAGGGGTGCGTGGGGAGGGCATTGACTCGGGCTGGGGATCGGCAGAGTGGGTGAGGGAGGCGGGGTACTGACAAGGAGCAGCGTTCAAGCTCCGGGGGGGAACGCCACAAGATTTGTCGCTCACTCCCGCGCGCCAACTCTCATTCGAACGACAAGCACCCGAGACTCAGCGTAGGCACAGGTCGCCATCGGATAGACAGCCATTCGGGACCATGTAGACGCCAGGTGCGCGACGCTCGCGAGGTGCCCCAGGGCCACCCAGGGGCCCAAGCGTGCCAGGCGCGCTTGGTGCGCGAGATGCGCCGCGTGCGCCAGGTGTGCCACGTGCTCCGGCCGCGCCAGGTGTGCCAGGTGCGCGACGCGAACAGATTGCGCCAGGTGCACCAGTCCGCGTGACAGCACACATCGGGCAGTACGTCGACACCTCCACCACCCCTGCCCACAAGAAACACTGCAGCGATGCGTCGGGGTGGCCAGTCTGGGTTGGGTGCGTTCAGCCGCAATCAGTTTCCATTGGCTTCTGATGTGGGTAGTGTGCCAGCACACAGCGGGCAAGTATGATCTCCCCCGCCATCCCTGTCTATGCAAGGTGCTCGCGGGTCGCCCGCTCATGATTCAGATTTTGCCGCCACCTGCGCTCCTCAATTGATGTTCTTCACTCGGACGGTGTTGGGGGCGAAGTGGGGCGAGTGTTTCCTGGTCCGCGGCCGGTCGAGTCGGGGGGGGGGAGGCAAGGAGCAGTGATAGACCCTTCTCCGAAGAGGGAGACGAGGGGGCGCTGGCCTGGAGCCCTTCGATTTGGATCCCTTCTTGAATTCCTTCGAGCATCGATGTTGAGTTGCTTGCGAGGATGCCTTCGGCTTGGACTCCTGTCACTCCGAGGGCCGCCCCACCCGAAGCCGGGCCGCCCGCCTGCTGTCTGCACGCACGAAATGGGTACAAAAAGAATGGGTACAATGCGCAACAGCAGGTCCTGCTCATCTTGAACAGGACTCGCTGTCCGCGCCGCCGCGGCCTGTCTCCATTTGAGACAGAAGGCCGCCTGCCCAACAGCGGCCGCTGTTAGTTCGGGACAACACTTGCTGTTGGGCTTTGTGCCCATTGTTTCCGTGCCCATTTCGGGCGTCCGCCTGCTGGCAGACTTCCGCTCTCTCGCGGAGGCCGCGCGCGCCCTGCGCCATGCGCCCCGTCGGCCCGCGCTCCGGCTGCCACGCGGAGGCCGCCAGACCTTTTGGGGGCAAGGCCAGGAGAAGGGCGAGGACCAGAGGGGGCGCGGGTGTCATGGCCAGGGCCATGATGTCTGCCAAGCTGTTCTAGTCTCCTCCTCTTCTTGTCGTCATTATTACTCTTATGCTATTATGATTGTTACATCCCCGTGAAAGCAGTTTATGAAAAAAAGTGGCACAGGGATGGAAGCCGAAAAGATGTTTAGTCAGACCAGGCGGGGCCCGTCGCATCAAGTAGCATCCGCCGATCAATGTTACGGAAAAGCGTTTCCTCTGCATTGCGCGTTGCATGTTAGCCATCCGATTGCTGGGAACGAAATTGCAAAACAGCACGTGGAACCGCCCACGCCAGCGGCATTGTGAAGTTTCAACTTGGAAGAGCACCCAGGCATTAAGTGGCGCCCGCCTCCCAATGTTGCCACTGGGCGCGCAAGCCCAAAGTGTGGCATATCAATGACCTGGCCCATGGTGCACGCCTGCGCACGCTGCCATTATTGTCGTTATTGATAGCATTAGTTGCAAATGGCATTCTTGGTAGTGCTATCATTGAGATTAGTAGTATTATTGATGTCACGATTAGTGATATGGTTATTGTTATTTCAAGCCGTTCCCGGGGCCCCGCCCCGTCCGCGCAAATGCCTCAGGCGCCACGTTCTGCGACCCCCCCTCCTTGGACACCCCCCCTCCCTTTTGGACGCGCCCGAGCCTGCGAGGAAGCGGGTCTTGGGACGCCAGGGCCTTCTCCAGGATCGGCGCGCCGTCCCAGGCAGTTTAATTCCGGCGGCCCAGGGTCGGAACGGACGAGAGGGGGGGGGGGCATTGAGAAACGGGGGGGCATGAGATCTGCCGCATGCGGTTGGTTCCGAGTACGCCGCCCGGCGCATTCCTCGATGCGTGGCCGCCTTTGGCGCCGGGAGGCGCTGAGAAAACCAGCGGCGTGAGCTGATTCGCTACCTCCCGCCCCTTTGCTATCCCTGCCCCGTTTTCGCCCACCCCGATCGGGGAAGGCCCCCGGAGGCCGAGTTCGGCGAAAAAGTTCTTTGGGCCCCTTTCCTCCATCTGGGCCTCGCAGCTGTGGTCCGAATAAACGAGATCGGAGGAGCACACCGCATTGCCGATACATCGCCGAAGCGGCTCGATGTTGAGCCCGATGCGGCTCGATGTGGAGCCCGATCGACTCCACGTCGATGCCTTGGCGAGGCGGCGCAATCCTCCGACCCCACCTATTCGGACTCCACCTTGGAGGCTTCTACTCCGGGGTCCCGAATTTCGGGAGGGAAGCACTTCCTTGACACTCCCCCTCTAACCCAAATTCAACGTTGGCACACGCGGGGGAGACTGCGGTCGAAGTGCAACTGATTCAACCCACCGCCAACATTGATGATTTGGGGGGTGGCATTCACAGATGAATGTGGCATGAGAGTTCGCTGATCTCTTCCGAGGCCTATTCGTCATGGCGGCCCGGGGCCGCTCGCCTGACAGGACGCGTGCGCGCGCGCGCGCGCCCGCGGCGGCGGCCCGCCATGAGCTCTGCCGCTGGCCGCCCCGCCCGCGGCCGCTCGGGCGGGCGGCTCCTCCTGCCACCGCCACGAGGGGCCGGGCGCTGCCAGGAGGGGCCCTGGCCCAGGGCGGCCCCAGCTTCCCCAGGGAGGCACCAGCAGGGTTTCCAGGGCTCCCCTCGCGCGGCCCCAAGGGGCCCTGGGCCTCGTGCGGAGTGTTATGGAAGCCGCTTTGGGGGCCCCAAAGAGGCCTGGCTCCGGAGGGCTCCGGAGGCCCCAGATTGGCGCGAAAAGTTGGGAGCACCTTGGGCCTCGGACCTTCGCCCACTTCTGGCAGCACCCGAAAACGGGTCGGCCACGCGTGGGCGCACGCCGGCGTCGGTGGCATCCCTCGCCGTCCCTCGGCGACGGCGTCCTTCGCCGCGGCTTGCGAGCGACAGCCCCCCCCCGCACCCGCAGGGCCCCGCGAACGGAGGCCTTGATCAACCAGGACAGTTCGGCACGCCCGAGGGAGCTGGGTGCTGGCGCTGACTGCGCCAACGCCGATGCTGACGGCATTGACGGCATTGAGCGCAGATGGCGCTGACGGTGCTGGGCGCTGACGGTGCTGGGCGCTGACGGCGCTGGGCGCTCGCTCCAGGCCGATGCCAGGGACACCCGCGCTCCCTTCGGCGAGCTCCTCCTCGACAAGGACATCGAGCCGCCTCTCGAGGGCTCGCGCGCGCACGCGAAGGGCCAGGGCCCCCAAGGGACGCTGGCGGAGGCCAGGGCTCCCTTCCATCCAGCCGCGCCAGTCCGTGGCGCCGGGCGCGGAGGCAGCGCCAGGGGGGAGGAGTACGAAGAGAGGGGAAAGGCGAGAGGGAGATTAGCGTGCCGCTCCGCCGGTTCTGGCCCACTACGCTTCGGCGCGGCACGCGAACCACGTCCCAGGCCCCAAGCATCAACGTCCCGAGCTTTACCCCGCCTCCCGCCCCGCGCAGCGGAGCGACACGCTATCCGCTTGCAGGGCAGGGCGCGTCGCTGGAGCCGCCGCCGCGACACAGTCACCAGAAGTTCATGACCATAGGGGAGGAGTTGGGGGCGCGCGTAACGGGGGTCAGCGCTAACTGGGGCCAGCCTGTCCCCTCCGATCCCCTCTGGCTGAGCCGGGTTTGGGAGCCACGTGGAGCCGACCCCTTATCACCTCTTTCTGCTGGCCTGGGTTTGGAAGCAACTGTTCGGCCAGTAGGGGGTTGAGACATGGCCTCGGTTGACTTGGTTTGC